CTTTCTAGTTCTCTCGCTCCCTCTCTCTCTCTCTCTCTCTCTCTCTTCTTTTCTCGCGCTAGTAACGGTAGCGACTATCAAATCAAGCTTCGGTCAGCGTGAACTTTTATTGGCGAAGTTCCGTTGGATTGAGCCGCTCTAAAGAGATTAAAAGATCGACTCGGCACGATCGAAACGAAACCGAGAGCACTGTACTGTTGCAACGCTCGAAAGGGGATTACGATCAGTCAACACGGCCGCACGGCCAACTTCCGGTCTCGATACGACGCGCGTGTGTGTATTGGATGAATCATTAAAATTGCACATGCTATTATTATTATTATTATTATGTTAAGTAACCGGAAAAATTTCCCTTTAGACAGAAGAAAAGAAATCACACTTGTGTAACCGCACGAAAAAAAAAAAGTATAAGTTTAATGTTCCGTGTACGAATTAGTGCATCCACCGTGGCGGATCGAACGTCTAAAAAATGGAGGAACCTCGCGAATGATTGAAAGTAAATCGTAGCTTCGAACGAGCCCGGTAAACCCCGGCGCAACTTGGCGCATCGGATTAACTCGGTGAAATCGTCGATTAATCGGTTCGTAATTAGCAGGAGATTATTACTATTAAACGCGATACGCACGGAAAGGCGCTCCCGGCGAGGCCGCTTGAAGTATTAGCAAAATGCTCCGGCCGCGTTCTCTCGATTTTATTGCGCGGCCGCGGTTTACATCGCAGTAACGACTATCCTTATTACCGCCCGTTTTATCACGGTTGCCTCTCCCGCTTATCGAGCGAGTATCGCGTCGATATTAAAATACAAACTGTAATCCCATGAAATTATTTCGCTTTAACAACTGCGGCCGACAGATGCGGCCGCGTCGTGTCGTAAAACGGATACAGGACGGACGGACGGACGGACCATTCTCTGTCGAAATAAAACCCCGCAACTTCTTGGTATACTGACTCCGCTTATTAAAGATCATGCCGCGATATGATGCTGATTATGAAGGCACTGAGTTATTATCCTGTCTATCGTAACCACGCATACTCACATAGTGCGGACTCGGTGCGTCCCCTTCCTCCCTCCCTCCCGCTTGAGATCGCGAAAATAAAAGAATCGTCTTTAGCGAGCGCCGCGTGTCGAATCGAACACGTTACACGTAACCTCATTCAATTATGCGTAATTAAATTGTTATCGATGTTTTATCGCGGTCACATGTGTGAAGCACGCCCGGCATCTCGCGGCTGGAGACATTCAAACGTGTTAAATTAAGGCGCGCGTTGTGATTTAAACGACAAGAAACGCGGGGAAGGAGCTTGAGCGAAATTACACGCGTGCAACAACGACACACTTGGATGTGCAGTGTGCGTACGCACGTAAAACACCGCGGCGGGGCGCGCGCGAATAACATAAAATTTCGATGGACATGTGTAAACCGCGCGACGATCTTTTTACGGGCGACATTTGGCCGCAACGTTTTTCTTCGCATCATCCTGCGAAAAAAAGATTCACGTAACTTCAGATGAAAATGCACGAAGTGTGTGAATCAAATCATGGCGAGGACGACGACAACGACGGCGGCGAATCAAACCTTCCGTAGAGTATTCGAGCTTCGTGTTCCTGTTTTCTTTAATTAGCCCTGAAACGCAGCACGCAAACCGCGCAATTATTTCAAGGATCTCCCGCGGTTTTACTTTCGAATAATAACTCTCGGCGTCTCGTTGTATGCGACTCCGTGTCGCGACATACGATTAGGCTACCGACACGTAGAATCCCAGCGAGCGTCTACCTCGTTGTAATTAGCGTGTTTCTTAATGCGGCGTTAATCTGTGTACACATCCGACTCCACTTGAAAGACGAAGGCAATTTTCAAGATTAAATTAAACAAAATTAAATAAAGAATAATAATACTAAAAGCGATACAATTTGTTTGAGAAATACTGAAATCTTAGATAGAAATCAATCAAAGATCGTGAGAGTTGATTTGAACGAATTTAATTGAGAAAAATGATATCTGTCCTTTACCATAGCGAGTCCGACAATCGAGGTCGTTCGGGCAATATTAGTAAGCGTGTTATTTCCGAGGCGTGACTGTTCTTTTCAATCGAGATCATAACTGATAGTTGCACCTTGCACCGTTTTGCCTTGCAGATTTACTCTTTCGTAACGTATATTCCATTAGCTGTCTCGATCGCCGAACGTCATATATGCATTGTCCTCGGAATGAAAGCCGCGCGTGGATCGCGAAGCGGGTGAATCGCGCGACTTCCGACTCGTTCGACGGTCCTTAATTTCACTTTCGATTAGATCCTTTCTCGACTGCGATTCCGTTACGCCGGAACGTTATACGGCGCGATCGAAACGGACGATATTATCCGTAATGAAGCGCATTAATCGGCGAGCCCGCCGGAGAAATCCGAGCGAGACGCTCTTCAACGTTTTTGAGTGAGCGCGATTCGTGCGCGCGATCCGATCGGCGGACTAATCAAAATCACCGACGACTCGGCGACGACGCGCAGCGACTAACAAGATCAACGTCCGCGTATTATTCGCGACGACGAAAAGAGAAGACGTGACGTAGACACCTCGTGTCAGCTAATCTAATTATCCTTTCGCCCGTGACGCGCCTTCAGGGCGCTATGCTAATCGCTCGTTCGCTCTTCCTCCTTGAGACCATTATGCTCGCTCAGCGTCGCGCTCCTCCGTGGCTCGTTATGCGAGGCTGAATTATCCCGTAGCATTGACGTTAATGTTCATGAATTTGCGCTTGTTAAATTAAGAAAACAAAAAGATACCGAGAAGATATCGAGACAAAATAATACCGATACGAGCACGAATATCGAATGAAAATATCCATGCAAAAATGCTCGATGTTGAAGGCAAAATATCGATGCCGGTATTATATCAGTAGTATCACAGCACCCCTAGTTGCTACAGTGTTAATAATGATAATCTCGCGTGCATATTGCTACTACTATTTTCCTTTTTTTACCAGAACAAGAAGAAAATATAATTGGCGCCGAAAATCACTATAATTTCAGTAACATTAACCATTATTTTCCTTTGAACGCGGCTCGCTCAGCGGGATCGCGCAGGAAGTCGGGGGACAGCTCGTTGGTCCCCCGAGCTTGTGACGATCACGATAATCCCTCGTGATCAACGCAAAAGTGAAAACGGTCCTGGATTCACGAGACCGTAACCGGATGCCACAATTCGCCACGATACGCACGCGTGGAAAACTTACGAAATACGTCCGTCCTTTTCGTACTTCTCTTCCACTCCTTCTTCTCCCTTTTCCTTCCCCCGTCGAGCGCGCACGACACCCCGGGTGTGCGAGCGTGTCATTTCGCAAGATGGACAGCGCGCCCGACGAGTTGGTCGTCGAACGAGTATCGATCACGTGCGAATTGCTGCGGTGAGAAACGTTCGGCGGGAGTTCAGCGGCGTTCAATGTCCCCGGGGAGTGCGGTCGCGGCGCTGGTTTCACGCGGCATTTCTTGAATCGTATCTCGTCGCGAATCGTATCGCCCGTAACTCGTTACAAACGCATCGATCAAATTAAGCTAACGCGCGCGCTCGGCTAATTGGACCGTCGCCGGTAATAACCGCGGGGACGGACGAACGGGCGGCGGAATACTCGCGGCGTAATTCGCGCGCGGGTATCCTGTCGTGAAATTACGCGAAAGCAGACGGCCGTCGCTTCTACGTTTGTTCGATAATTCACGAAAAGTCGTCGCATGACCGCCTCTACCCCGTAGTTATTGCTGCATTCATTTATGATCGTACGGCTTTGCACCTTAATTACCATGTCATAATTATAGTTACGCCTTCTCTCGTTTCTGTCTCCCGCTATAAGTCGCCTGCTCATGCAACACTCGCGCGTACGTTCCTCCGCATTAATCTCAACCCAAATAGAATACTGGAAAAAACGATTTGATAACAGTTATTAAATAGTTTCAATTAAAATTGCTTGGTTACTGCAACCAAATTATTTCACACTGTATTCTAATACCATATAACATACACGGTACTAAGTGATTTGGTTATAATAATCAAACAATTTACTTGAAACCATTTAACCGAACCTAGGCAGTTGTTACCAAATCCTTTTTTTCAGTGAGCTACCTCCGTCAAGGCGTGACTTCTCCTCGCAAATTTTCGGATTCTCATATTCACTCGATTTCATTTATCGGCACTAAATTTTTATCAAACTTTTACAGAAGCAGCCTTATTCTCGTGACTGTCGTTTTGTTAAAAAAAGCGTGCAATGATTGCACAAAAATAATTTCATCGCTCAGATAATTTCCATCCTCTTTATTCGAAGGCTACGAATTGATTTCACAGTACAATGAGTTCGGAGATACGTGTACCACGGTAAAAAAAAATTGCGTATAAAAAGAGAGAGACTTTTGCGGTCACTTTTTCTCCGTCTTTTCTTTACCATCCGATAAACGTCAGCGCAATTACGCTCCGTTGTTGAATCCTTCTCGCGCGCAATTATTCAACGCTCGCTCGCTTGCGCGACCTAGACACCGACAAGGCAAGAACGTGGGGAAAAAGAGCAGCTCTAGTGCGCGCTTTTACTCGTTACGATCTATCGGCCGACGAACACGCGGAGAAAGGTACGAGCGTGTCGAGATTGATCGCCGTGACAGCGAGGAGGAGAGTGCAACGGACGAACTTTCCTTGGCCGTTTCGGTTTCAGGTGGCTGCCTCGTCGTTGTATCAGAACCGACACGAGTTTTCTGGGTCGGGCCTCTCACTGGCCTACACTACGATCGCGGGCAAAAGTGACCATTGAAGTCGGTGTGTGCTCTCGGGTGAATGGACAGCCGATCCCGGATCGAATGTATCCTCGCCCTCGACAAGGATATTGGAGATCGCGCATTAAGTTACGCTCGCTTCTCTCTTTCCCGATTATTACGGACTCTCAAGGTCTTCGTGCGAACGAGCGTCCCTCGGCGATTTGCGCCGTGATCGCGAATCGCCCGAGTCGTTCGTGCGCGGTTCTTACCTCCAATTGCACTCCGAACAGATCCCTCGATCTTCCGGGTCTGGAAGCGTTTAATTCTTGCATCTCGGTCTCTCGCTCCACCAGTCCCATGTCTCCGAGATACCTGCGCATGTAACAAAATCCTGAGTCCGGTCGCGCCACAACTCGGTTCTCGATCAATTCCTTAGGCTAGATTTCATTTCACCAGACTGGATATTTTATTAGATTAGATGTTTCCCGTCAGATCTTTATTCTCGAATTTTTCCATTAAACTCGGCATTTATTAGATTTGAATTTAACACGTTGAGCTCCAAAGTAAAACATGCGTTATGCAGGCTGAACGGGGGAAGTCCAACCGATGGCCCAAGCGGCACTCAACGTGTTAACGAGATGATTAACGATGTTACATTGCTAAATCGTTAATTCGCTAACGTTACATCGTTAATTACAGTCAACAACGAAAAAACCGAAGGCACTATTTCGGCAGAATAATTTCCGTCTCGATACACTTCGCGGCGGGCCGAAATAGATCTGACGGTGAACGAGTGGTAAATGATTGATGGGAATAAAAACGCGCCGTTTGAATAAACGTTAGGAGAATATAACCGGTTGCGCATAATATTAAAAATTTACTCGCAGATCCGTTCATTTATTAGCAACGCTTTTTATCTCGGCCAAAATAATAGTACGATGTATGAATTATTAATCGCAATGCCAAGCAAGCGTGCCAAGCGGCAACGTTACAGTGACTGAACTTAACAAATACTCCGTTCTCTTTCCATGATGTATTAAAGCTGTTTCTAGTTTCTTCTGTTCGCGAAACGGGGGGCGGGGGGGNGGGGGGGGGGGGGGGGGGGGGGAGCATCCGCGTAAAATACGATGTGCACGATGCGGAGACGAGGAGGCGAAACTAAATCGTGAGTTTTATTATAGAGGGGTACACCGAAGTACAAGCTCGCTCGCGCGGGAGCAACGAGCAGCGAGTTTTGATAAACGAACGCGCCCCCCGCGGAGTGGTATGAATCATTCGACGTGAGAAAAACAGGTCGTGACGGCTCCAAATACGATTAAGCGTCTGCAAGACATCGAGTGCCGCCGCGACAAATCTGGTCTTCTTGATGGGAAGCGCACTTAGGATAATTAAAATAAAACTCCAATAGAGGGAGGACGATTCCAATTTGCGTCACGACGAAATGTCGACGGTATGAAAAGAGCTTCCTGCTTACAGAGATATATGTTTCAGACTAAAACTACTAGTTTAGAAGCAGAGCTCGTCGTGGCGAATCGACGCCGATACAGCTCGCAATAGTGGTGAGAATTAATTACACGGTATCGAGGAATTATCGACCGACACGCGACGATTAATGCGAGAGCATCGTCGACAGCTCTCAGTAACGTTTGAGGGAGCATCGCCATTAATTATCAGACGCCTCAATTAGACATAATGCACAGCTCACGGGTGATAATCCGTCTCTGCGAGTCTCGATGTCTCGACGTGATTCGCGCGTTCGTCGCGCTGCCCTCGTCGCGCGTCGCGCTCAAACGAACATATTTCCCAGCGTTACCCAAATCACTTTTTCTTGACAAGTCATGAAGAAATCCACTATCGTCCAAAATGAATCATTACAGCAGTCGTTATTCACTTCTCTTGTCCCGACGGCTGGATGGCAGCGCCGATGTTACAAATTACGAACAAGAAGTCGCATAACTGATGAAATAAAACCGACGATATTTCATATGACTCATTTTGTCGCGACCCGATCGGTCGCAATTAGCATGCATTCGACATCCGCGAACTTTTATTCCTCCGCCTACGTTTCGCCGCGAGCGCAGGCCAGAGAAAGGTTACGCGCCGCCTCGCGTATGGCACTTTCGCGTAAACGCTGTTACCTCGTTGGCATTTAAAACAATTACGCGACGCGCGGTCATTACCGTGGCGCCGGGAATACCGCGACGCCGCCGTCGTTATCAAACCGTGCGAAATCACGACGGCATTGTCCCGCGATCCGACACCGGGTGGAAGGGAAACAATAAACGCCGAGCCGAGCGAGCGAGAGAAAATCAGACCGCGTCGGCTATGATACGCGTTAAAAACTTCCCGCGGTGTGATTCATCCAGCGCGCAAAACAGCCTTCGAGACTCGCGATTGCGCAGCGGCCGGGTCACTGCACGCGTTATGTGCACGCCGATTTCGCGTTTTCATCGCCTTCCGATCCGCCGAGAGGATCGCAATCGATGCGTAGAGGACTGAAGGAGGGAGGGGGGGGGAGAGCGAAGAGCACGTCGGGGCAGGATGCACCGCAAGAGCGAACGCGCGCCGCGAACAATAGCTACGATACGCGCGCGCGTACGCCCTTGTACCGTTATCTCGCGCGAAATTATCCGCTAATTATTTGTAATTAATCGCAAGACCGGCCCCGGGAAAGCGGCGGCTTCTCGGGGATGTTCCCCGTGACGGCTTCATCTTGGCGGTCGCCACCGCGCACGGTAGTCCATCGTCTATCGCGTTACTACATCGGTCGTTATGTGTCGTAACGAGCGTCGTTATGAGCGAGCGAACGAACGTACGTAATTGCTTCCCCGCGTAATTCGTAATTGCATTATCATTACTCCCCTTCTTTTCGTTGGCTCGCTGTAATGCGTCGCGCAATTAGGCGCATAATTAATCGTTAGCGACTGCCGCTATGGTCCTCTCCTCGGCCGCCCCCGCATCTTATCCTGACGGCGCATCTGTTTTGCCTCGCCTTCGCGACGCGCAGCGATTGTTTCCGCGGCGCTCCTATTATCGCACACGGCTGCGAATGCGCCGTCTTGTTGCGATCTGTATCTGCAACGAGATCTCACGTGTTATCGATAACCTTCGCCGATACCACCCGGCGGCTTTTGCATTTGTCCCTCGGCTTTCCAACGGGGAGATGCGTGTAATAACGCGTTTCTGAGCCGAGGTGTCTTGAGAACAATGTCTTCGGAAAACTATCGTGATATGTCGTCCTTTAGCTTGAGGAGATAGATAGATAGATAGATAAATAGATAAAGAGATGAATAGATAGGGAGGAGAAGACGAGGGAAAAGGTTGTGCGACATTCGAAATTTGTCGTGTTCATCATCCGACCGAAAGTATGTCGGATGTGAGTTCTCAGCGCGCAGGAGGTGATCTCGATACGTTCTTATTGCCCTTTCAGAATGATCTATGTTACGCCCATACGTATGTGGCGTTACGATATCTCGATACAATTGTTCTCCGCTCCAAGTGAATTATGTCCAATTGGCCAAGATCCGAGTCGGAATCGCAATACTTCACTCGTAACACACTTACAACGCACCTGTCGGTCCGCCTGATGTCTTTTTTCTGATTCGAAATCGACTTCATCAACGTCGATAAGATTACAGAGGAATAGAAAAATCATTGAGAAGACATGTCCCGTCCAATGTTTGCTAATTCAATTAAATGTGCATTTCTAATTGCTCAATTCAATGTTCAATTCAATGTTTTCGTTCTCGGGTTATCCTTGGAGCATTCCCTAATCATCGATGTCTCTCGATATTTTTTCAATTTTTGATGCCCAAATCAAAGTTAACTTCTCTAACTCGAAATTGTCTTCGTCGACGTCGATAAAATTTAAATAACGGAGGACTAGAAAAATCCGGCGTTTCTCCGATGTTCCTTTTTTTCTTCAATTTTCGATATCCAACTGACTTTTCCGATCTGTCGTTCCCGGCAGCAAATGTTTATTGACTGTTCCAGTTCCCACGATATCGGCTTAATTGAAGAGTGAAACTTCCCGACGGGGGCATAAAAGATAGCCGGGTGGGTTATCAGCGGAACAGGCCGTATGAAACAAGGCACGGAGCGCTTTCCCGTGGCGAAGGATCTCCCGGCCGTACGGTGCTCGCACATGTGAAGCTAGAAGCGGAAGAAGAAGACGACCGGTGCACCGGAGGAGGCGAGTCAGTCCTAACGGGATCGCGATACGGATCATTAGCGCTGTTTAATCTACGAGCGAGCATTCTAACGCGACCGCGGCGCGAGGCGCTCTCGCGCCGCGCGCGTCTTGTAGGATGTACCGCGTCACGAGCGGAGAAATCTTCCTCTTCTTCTTCTTTTTCCTCGATTTCCGTGCCGGCGATGAGTCACCGTAAACGTTGCGTAATTTCCGTCCTCGTGAAACGTCGAAGTCGGCGCGAGGGACACTCATCGCGGCGACGCGACGTCGTGCCCTCCGTTTCTACCTGTCGGATCTTCGTCCCGACAGGACGAGCCCGGAAAGAGTCGCGAAATATTTTGCTTTACACTCACATCTATGAGTGTAAATCTGATTTTGCGAATATTTCTTTGCCGATCTTCCGTCTCGAACCCCGTCCGAGGCGAATCGTAAATCGTCCCAAACGAGCTTCAGGAAACAGCGATGCGCGATGCCCATCGGATATTTAACTCGGGTATCATCTAATTGCACGATGCGCTACGAACGGCGATGAGGCCTCCGATCGATCGGTAGGAGAGTGCGTTTTTGCAGGAATAATAATTAAAGTTCCTCACGCGGAGAAACGTCACGCAGCGTTCCCCAGTGTAAACAACGCGATCGAACGAGACGCGGCCGCCCCTTCGCAATGTGTCCGGTAGCACGAGTGTGTCCATCGCGGACGATGAACAAATAATAAGCGGTAATAACAACGCGCGGACTGGGCGGCATATTACATGCCGGCACATTACATGCGCCGTCTAATCGTCACCGACGATCTCGACCATCAGCTATATCGTTGCAACCGCCGCATTCCCCTTTTACGCTTATTTTTTTATCTTTGGCCACACGTAAACGTCGAATAACGGCGCATCATTAACTCGTCGTAGCATGTGAAAGCACCTTCTGTGAACGCCTATCCGCGGAGGGATCGGCGGAATTAAAAGCGGCCGATGGAAATAAATTTCGTCACGTCGTTGCGAATTCTCTTTGATGTCTCTTCCTGTGAAGTCGCGGAAAGTAGATTTACAATCTTCGAGTCTTTCCCACTTTTTTCCTCCGTGTCATTCATCCATCTGGTTATTTAAATTATCGGAAAACCAATCTAATACGCGGCAACTAGTCCCCATATTCTGAAGGAGTATACGAGCC